CATAGGCCACATGCCAGGCCATAGAACAAGTCTTGATGAATTACAAATAACTGAAAAGTTACAGAGGATATTCTCTGATCACAGCAGAATTAAATTAGAAGCCAAAACAATAAAATATTTAGAAATGCCTCAAATATTTGGAAATCAAACAACCTATTTCTGTATCTTCATTAACGTGGTCATTACATTTCTCAAAAGTCATCTAATTATAAACTCAAGATGTGTACATATCACTATACATAAATACTTATCTTAATAAACTAATGGAAAAAAGTTCAATGTAAGTTTAGCTAAATTAAAACAAAATCAATGTATCTTTGTCTAAGTTGCAGTCAAGGTACTGAATGAAGGAAAATTCCCCATGTAACCTAGATTTTCTAAGCTTGTTTAGTCTAGCTTACCAAATTTTTAAGACACAGTCAAGCATAGTCATTAAATTATTAATCAAGCTCAGTATATTATTCTTTCATTCAATGAACATTTACTGAGTTCAGTCTAATGGGAGGCAGAACTGACAAAAAACTTCAATATTAAAAGTGCTACTACAACAAGTAGGAAAGGCACTTAATCTACATTTGATTATGTTTAAATTGGGCTTTTAATTCCATACAGCAAATAGGAACGAAGGAGTGTGTTAGAAAGGACAATCACATACAATGAAAATGTGAGAACACGGTAAACTTCAGGCACTTTAAGAAGTATTGTATGGGTATGTTGTGGCTAAAGATTAGAATTGTGATATATGGAGGGGCCAGATCACATATTCTGAACAGGAGAGCATAGCATACTAAGGAGTTTGCTTAAAATTCAGGATAAAATTCACAGATGTAACCTGAGCAGATCTGTATTTTAAAACAATCACTCTGGCAACAGAATGGAGAGTAAGTAAACTAAAGCTGGGCAACGCTGGAGCAGCTATCAGTTAAAAAGTTATGGGAGCAAGCAAGGCAATAAATAGACAAGTACCTTAATATATCAACAGGAAAAGGAGAATCAACAAGACTTGGTATCTAAATGATGGTCCTAAAGTGTAGATACAACCAAATCAAGAGAGCTTCTGGGTTTCACTACATTTGTCCTCTTACTTTATGAAGACACATTTTAACACTTGGGACACATGACGTTTAATTCCTCATGTTTTGAATTTGGCTTCTACAAAAGATTGACGGGTTTGAGTGTAGGAGGCCTGTCTTCTGTATCTAACAGGGATTAGGGAATTAATACTTGTTTAAACAATTATCACACTGAATGTATTTGATATTATTGACAAACCATCTCTATGGCTTTCTATGTCTTTTTACAAAGTATGGTTTGCATGAGAAATCCCTTGGTATTCTTATTAAAAATGATTATTCTTATCAAAAAGTAATCTAGACTTACTGAATCACTATCCATAAATCATGCCTCAGGAACTAGTAGTTTATATAAACTTTCAGGTAATTGATGCACATTAAAACTGAGACCCATTAATCTCTAATCCTAGGAAAATAAGCACTGAACTCCAACCACACAAGGTGCATTGTCCAGTCAAGAATTGGGCAATGATTACTGGTCAGATTTGATAAGGATTTTACTTAGGAAAATTTGAATTTTTCTATACAACTAATATACAAAGTGGTATCAAAGACTATTTTTTTAAAAAAAGCATTGGGGTGATGTAGCGCAACTAAAAAGATAAACACTTCTATTTAAAAAACACTGGTCATTTAAAAAATTAAGTTTTTAAAAGGGATGCTCTAGCTGATTAGTTTTAAGTTCCCTTATAAAAGCTAACTCAAGGAACAGATAATCCATAAAAAAAGGATTATGATTTATTTCTTATCTAAAAGTTAAAATCAGTCAGTAATTTTCACACATGGCAGAAATGCATTTTATATGATGAACTATCTACAGTTGGGGGGAAGATTTTAAACCTATTATTTAAATGTGCTTATTAACATAAGCTTTTAATTTTTAAAAAAATTTTTTCATTATTTCATGGGCATGTGAGAACACCAGGATTTCTTTCTTCCTCAACTTAATTATATAAGCTGACAAAGCATAGGTCTTTAAATATTGAATTAAAATTCTAACACACCATGGTACTATCTATAAAATAAAAAGTAATGGTTTTTATGAGTTAAGAAGCTACAAAAAAATTAAAAGGCAGTTCTGTTCCAAAGTCTGAAAACAGCAATTTTAGTCACATTTATATTTAAAAAAATAACAAAATCAGGTCCTAACAGAATAGGGACTTCAGCAAAACCACAGGTTCAGACATATCATCTAAATAAGGAGAAATAATAAAGTAGCAAATGGGCTTCAAATTCAGGATAAGATTGTTTTGTAAAAAGTCTCTCTTCATTCTCAATGGCTACCAATATCTGTCTGTACGAGTCAGGCTTCTAGAAAAAACGGCATGGCAAGTGATGAAAATGTTCTAAAGCTGAATTATGGTGATGGTTGCACAATGATGTAAATTTACTGAAAATAACTGAATCGTACACTTAAAAAAACAAGTGAATTTTGTGGTATACAAATTATACCTCAAGAAAGCTGTTTCTAAACCTACAAGAGTACTTAAGGTTGGGACTAGGGGAACACAGCATCCCCTTCTTTACACATTAACCCAGATCCAAAGATGTCTTGGAGAAGTCCGTATAAGCATATAAGCAACTATTTCACATCCTTATCAAAACATCTGTAATAGAGAAAGGTAGATGAAGCTACCCACTTCTTTGTCTTAATACAGTGACATATAATATTACGGCAACTTTTATTACTCAAACTGTTTAATAAATTCCTTATATACTGGCAGGCTCTGAGAATATATAATTTTGATGGGAAAGCAATTTCAATACAATGTGGTAAGTTCTATAACAGGGGTTTCACAGGGGTCAAGGAGCCATGAAAGCATACAAGAGAGTCATTTATCACTAAGTGATAATACCTGGAGGTATGGTGGAGAATGGGCTTCCCTGGTGGCTCAGATGGTAAAGAATCCACCTAAAATGGGGGAGACTTGGGTTCGATCTCTGGGTTGAGAAGATCCCCTGGAGGAGGAGATTGCACCCACTCCAGTATTCTTGCCTGGAGAATCCCCATGGACAGAGGAGCCTGGTAAGCTACAGTCCATCAGGTCACATAGAGTTAGACACGATCAAGAAACTAAGCACAGAACAGCACAGAGGAGAATGTAAGAGAAAATACCTCTAAACAGCTGACCTCTAAACTGAAACTTAAAAGTATGGGTAGCTATAGATTCAATGCAATCCCTATCAAGCTACCAACGGTATTTTTCACAGAACTAGAACAAATAATTTCACAATTTGTATGGAAATACAAAAAACCTCGAATAGCCAAAGTAATCTTGAGAAAGAAGAATGGAACTGGAGGAATCAACCTGCCTGACTTCAGACTATACTACAAAGCCACAGTCATCAAGACAGTATGGTACTGGCACAAAGACA